CCGGGGCCAGAGATGCCCCGGGCGAGGGCTGTGCCTGGGGTAGGAGGCACAAGACGGTGACAGCCCTGGACCGAGACCGGGACCGGCTCCGCAGAGCCGGGCCGGACCCTGCGCCCCGCAGAGCCCTGGCAGCAATCCTGCCGAGCGCTGCCAACTTTGCCCGGCAGCTCAGGGCTGTCCCTGCCGTCTTCATCCTGGAGGAATCGGGCACAGGGGGATGGAGAGCCGGTTCGGGGCTCTACGGGCCGGGGCCGGGGTGGCCGGGGCCGCCTCAGTGGCCGCAGGTCTCAAGGTCTCCATAAATCACTTTTTCAGACTCTTGGAATTCTCTCACTCGAGACTGAAATTAAAAGGATGATTTCCGTAAGTGGCACACGCCGGACAGAGACATCCCCGCTCGGCATTGTCCGTGCTGCGGGGCTTCTCCCAGAACCTTCGCCTAACACTTTTGTCGTTTTAAAAGGCAGAACCTCCGAATTTTATCCAGAGTCCTCTTCTGAAAGGCTGCTTAAGCTTAAGAAAATTATATTTCAGATTTATTTGAAAAAAAAACCCAACCCCCAAACTTAAAAAAACCCACTACAAACAAAACTAATAATAATAATAATAATAATAATAATAATACAACGGTGTTTCTAATTTCCAATTGCATATTTAGTCGCTGAAAAAAAAAGGCGGCACTATTTGTAATCATAATCTATTAACTGAGTTTGGGAGGAATTTTCAGCAGAAAAAATTCATTACGGGGCTGCTCTGTGAATTTTCTCTCTCCCGAGGACATACGGGTAAAGGATATACTCGGGGTCTTTAAAATTGTGTTAGAAAACAAATTCGCCAGCGCTTTTATCTCCTCTGTGGTGGGACACGGAGATGAGCCAGGGAGATTTAATTTCTCAACGCCTCCGGAGTCTGGGTTCTCCCCTCCCCAAAACATTGCCCGGTCCGACCCCACGTCCTCTCCCCGCCTTGTCATTCCCGGCCAGAAATAAACCACCGGGGCAGAGAAAAACTGGCTTATTTCCTAGAATAAAAATTGGGGTTATTTCCAAGATTAAAAAAAAAAAAAATCATCGTGTTTATTTGGAGGAGTGAAAAGTGTGTTTCTTTGCAAGAATAAAAATCGGGTGTACTTGCGAGACCAAAAAGCCGATTTCTTTGCAGAGGGAGGAGCCGCTGCTCTGGGAGGTGTGGGACGGGGGGCTGATTCGTGCCTCGGGGGCACGCAGAGGAAAGGGGGTGCCTTCCCCACCGAGTGCCCCCTAAATGGGGCTGGGGTTCATTCCCCAGCGTGTCCCCACAAGCCGGGAGCTGCCGCTGCCAGGGGCCCGCACCCAGCCCCGCACCCGCGGCGCTGGGGCATCTCCTCGCTCTATCCCCGCGGATGTGCGGGGAATTTGGGGGGGACGGAAGGACACACAAAGGTGCCCGAGGGTGCCCTCCTTTTCCCGCTGAGGTTGAATTGCCCCTCGGATGCGTTTTCCTCGCTCCGCGGCCCGTCGCACGCTGTTCGCCTGCCCTCCTCGCAAGGACGGGAGAGCTGTTCCCCCTTCAACGAAAACCCGGGGAGGTGATGGCCGGGCCCTCTGCGGTGCCACCCTGGCCGCAGGACGGCCGGCACGGAGGGAAGCCCGGCCGGGAGCGATCCCCCATCTCATCCCTTTCCCCGCACCCCCCTGGCCGTGGGTGCGGTGCTCGCCCGTGGGAGAAACGCTCCCGAAGGGTGCCCGGGGTGTGTGCGAGCACCCTCCGCTCTGGTGCACACACGCGTGTGCGGGACACGCACATACACCCCCGGAGGGTGAGCCGCCGGTGTGACACACCCACCCGAGTGGGTACACGCGTACGGCGTGGATGCAACACGCGTGTGCGGGCACGCACGGGGCGGCACTCGCAGAGGTCGCGGGCACAGCCCTGTCCACAGACGGACACAGAGCCCAGGTTCGCATCCGTCGTTTGCAAACGCCCTCCCGCAGGGCGCACCCCGGCCGCTCCCCAGCTCCGGCAGCCGTGGGGATCCCCTACCCCGGGTACCCATTCCCCTGCACCTTCCTGCCCCAAATTCATCGGCTTTGTCACTCCCTTTCCCCACTCCACCCAACCCACTCAATTAAGGGCGGTGGCGGGAGCGGGGCTGCGAGAGGCGGCGGCTGAGGGCTCCCCTCCCGCTTCCTTCCCTGCGCAAGGTGAAAGAACACGAAAAAGGTGAAAACACAGAAAGAGCCCCAAAACCAGCCGCTTCCCGAGGTTTGGCTTTATTTATCCCTGCGTATCCTTGCAGCCCCGGGCAGGCTGGACGAGCCGGGTGCCCGGCGGGACAGCCCCGGTGTTGGCTCGGCGGGCCGGGGGGTGCAAGGGGGTAATGGGGTCCCACTGCCCGCGGCGGGGGGCGCGGGGAGCCGCAGGTGCTGCTGGCAGGAGAGACCCGCAATGGCTGTTTGGGTGTTGCATTAAAGCACGCTGCAGTGCGCACACTGCGGCCCCTCCCCCCACAATCTGCCTGTATGCTAATGACATGCAAAGAGACTCATTTGCATGTTTATCTCTGTCAATGGGCAAGCGTGGCGGGCGCGGTAATACGTTTCCCACCGTGGCGTGGAGGCCTCCCCCCCCCCGCGCCCCTCACCGCCCCGCCGGGCCGGGGAGGGTCGGGCAGGGGGCTCCGCTCCGGCCCCACCGCCCAGCCCTGGCACCAAGGCAGGTACTGCCACAAAATGGCTGCCAGGGGGGCCGGCAGCCTCCCGAGCACCCACCTCTGCCCCCCAGCACTCCCCGGCCCCTCCGCGCCCCCACCCCTTCAAACCCACCTCCGGATTTTGTGCTTAAGCAGCCAATCGGGGGCGCGGTACCCTTCCCCCCTACGTCCCTCCTTTCTGCCTTCATCCCTCCTTTCTCCCTTCATCCCTTCTTTTCCATCCTCCATTCCTCCTTCTTACCCTCCATCCCTCATTTTCCACCCTACATTCCCCCTTTTCCCACTCTGTATTCTTCCTTCTCTCCTTTCCACCCATTTCTTTATCCCACCTCTATCCCTCCTTTTACACCCATCATCCCTCCTTTTCTATCCTTCATCCCTCCTTTTTCCCCCTCCATTTATTTTCTACCCTTTATCCTTCCTTCTCCCCTCCATCCTTCCATCTTTCCTTCTCCCCTTCCATCCCTCCATCCTCTCTTTCAACTCTCCATTCCTTTTTTACCTCCATCCCATCCTTTCCCCCCGATTTTGTCCCACTTTCCTCAAACCCAGAAGCCAAATTTTCACTGCTTCCACGCGCGGGGTTATTTTTGATTTCCCACCGACCGGGGGAAAGTCTTTTCCCTCCTTCCAAGGGGCTCCGACTCTTGCCCGGGTGCTGAGCCCCGGCAATTTGTGACCTCTGTGAGTCCGCCGGCACCGTGGGAAGTCCCCGGTGGGTGCAGAGCCGCGGGTGGGTGTCCCGGAGGGGTCGCCCCTGGTTCCTCTGCTGAGGGGGCGAGAGATATCCACAGACACTTGTGGGGAGAAGCAGCCGTGCGTACATTCACGCGTGCGGGCCCACGGAAGGGACGGACATTGGAGGCACTGGTGCGAGCGCAAGTTTTTGAAATAGCCACCAAAAAAAAAAAAAAAAAAAAAAAAAAAAAAAAAAAAAGGCGCGGCCTCTCCCACGGCGCCGGGTGCGCCCACGCCGCTGTTTTCAAACACGCACGTGAGAGAGAAGGGCTCTGTTTTGCTGTTTTGCGGAGCGGGGAGTGCTCCGTCCCCGCTCTCCGAGCGAGGATGCGGCCACCCCAGCGCATCCTCGGCGGGGACGCGGCACAGCGCGACCTCCCCACACCCCACGGGGCGCTGGGAGCGGGGAGAAACCCGGGGGTGACTCCCGACTGCAATGCAATACAGCGTTATATGCGCTCCATTCCATACATATATACAGAACACGTATATCCTTATGTTGCGCTACCATTTATGGCGCCGTATTATACTCCACGATGCTGCGTGACGCGATGCGACGTGACAGCCCCCGGCCCTCGGCACGGCACGGCCCCGCCGGTGTCCCCGGGCCGCGGGGCCGCCCCGCCCCGAGGCGCCGGTGAAGGGCGCCCGCGTCGCTGCGCTGGGCTCGAGGACGGATTTCGGGGGATCCCCTCCTGTCTCCCCACCCGTTATCCCTCCTCCTCCCTGTCCCTTCTCAGCCTCGTACCCCCTCCTTTCCTTTCTCGCTCTCCCAAGCCTTGCTCACTTCCCCGGTGAAGGTGTGCTCGATCCTTCCGCCCGTTATCTCTGTTTTAGCCCCGGGAACTGGAGAGGCGTGTGGGTTTACCCTCCTCTCCTTCACCCGAAATTGTCTTAGAAAAAAATTAAGTCAGACAAAAACCCTAAATCTGCCCGCGGCCCCCAGACTCGCCCCGTCCCGACCAGTTTATCCCAGCACTAGCCAGCCGCGGGTAGGGGGAAGGGGAAGGGGTTTATTTGTGGGGTCAGCCAGCACCTCCTTCGGTCACTCTATGGCCTCTCCTGCCCTATGTCATCACACCTGTGCCGAGAGAGGTGTGACCAGCGGGGATGCTGCCGCTGACCCTCGGCGAGGGCTTTGCCCCGGAGCCCCGTCCCGGAGGGCAGCGGGCCCGGCGGTGTCGGTGCTCGGGAGCCCTGGGGGTGCCGGCCCTCAAAGGCCCCCCAAGCCCGCGGTCCGCTCCCCGGGTGGGTGTTCCTCTCTCGAGGGGGGCGGAGAGAGGCAGGCCGGGGCAGAGGCAGGTTTGGGAAGGCCACCTCCCCTGGCTTTCCGACTGCCCCCGCCAGGCCGTGTCCCCGCCGCACCCCGGCCGGGGGTGGGTCCGCACGCCCGGGGGAGGTCGGCTCGGGGCTCCTCATCAGCGTGCCCGAGGCAGGGCTGGTTTTGCCAGGAGTATGTGGGAACCCCTACAGAGAGACACCCTCCCATCGCTGCCCAAAACCTGCTGTGTCATCACGCCCCGAAGCAGAGGCAGCCCCCCAAAAGCGAATGGGGGGTGTGTTCCCTTACCTGAGCGCTAGCCCGGGGGAGCCACGCAGAGCGGGGGTTCTGTGTTCGGCTCGTGTTCTCCTGCCGTGTCCCGCAGCAGAAACTCCCTCCGGCCGGGGCCGGGGTCGGTGCGGGTGAGCCGGGCTGTGCCGGGGGACCCCGCGGCCGGGGAGAGCCGCACACCCCGGGCCGTGTTTATATGTGGAAAGAAGGGTAATTTGAGTGCTTATACCAAGAACCGGGGTTGTTAAGTTTGCAGGCAGACAGCTAAACGGTGCCAAGTGCGGGCAGGGAGGGGGGTGCGGGGGGGGAGGCTGGGGGTGTGTAAGAAATAAAGAGCAATTGTCAGAAGCGAACAAAAGGCGGAGGATGGAAAGGAGCTGGGAATCCCAGGGCAGAGCCCCTCGGCGTGGACTTGAACTTGGGCTTTGACACCGTCTGCCAGGCGGAGAGCGGCTTCGGGCCGGGCGAGGCGGGCTGCGGGGGGAGTGACACCAGCCCCGGCAACGCAGAGAGGGGCATTACCCCCTCCAAACACCCACCTTGGACGCGGCGGGGGAGCACTCTGCTTCAGAATGCGACTGATGCGGGGAATAACCCAGACGGGCTGAGACCCGACGGGCTCAGCGCACCTCCCGGTGCAGAGCGGGGCGGCGGCGGGGGGACCCCGTCGGGGCTGGCCGGGGCCAGACGGTCGGGGGGGCCGCCCGGTTCTCACAGTCTGCGCCCGAGCCTGGATTCTCTGCACGTCCCGGCCGGTCCCCCCTTTGCTACTATTCAGCACTTAATTGAACATTAATGGCAGCTGGGGATGAGGTCATTGGAGCCGGCTTTTCTCACACATTTTTCATGCAAATCCGCTAAACTCTAAACAAATTTGAATAAAACCCCCTTTGTGCAGGCCCTCCATGGTGTTTTTCCACGGGCCGCTCCGCCTGTCTCCGCACACTTCATCCGGGGAGGGGGGAGCGGCGGGGAGATGAGGGGGTGTGGGGGGGGTCTCTGCTCGGGCCTGGAGCGGCAGGCAGACCCAAAGAAGCTGTGTCCTCTTCGACGTTCTCAAGCTCAGATCGCCCCCAGGACGCCCACTGCACCAGCAGGGCCCTGCACTGTGCCATCACCTCCACTTGCAGCCCCCCCACAGCACCAGTTCCCCCAGTAATATCCATTAGCAACACCAGTTCCCCCTGTAACACCTTCACAGCACCAGTCTGCCCCCAGTAGCATCAGTTCTCCTCCAACTCACGCTAATCCCCCACTGCAATACCACCATTAACCCCCCAGCAACCCAGATTCTTCCCAGTACCACCAGTGTCCCCACCCAGCACCCCTTGCTGCACTTGGCAATCACTGCCTCTCTGTAAGGTGGTTTTGGGGTGCTCAGGGCTGCACAGGGTAAGAGCACACAGACCCCCGGCCCCCCTGCTCCGCAGCCCCCGCACAGCCCCCATTAGCATCCCTGCGCCCGGCCCCCTGCCCAGCCTTGAACTTGGCCATGCCGGGCTGCGCTCCTTCTGCCTGCCTGGGCTCGCACAATGCCGGCCTTGACCCATTGTTTGCTTTTTTCGGATTTCAGCTGGGAAAGCGGCCACCTCGCGCAGCCTGCCCCGAGCACGCCGGGAGCGGGGCACAATGGGGAACCCTGCTCTGCAGGCAGAAGGGCTCCAAATCATTTGAGAGACATATTCATTATATTCTTTCACGGGGGTCTGTTTGCATTGGGTTTAGCGGTTACTTCCCAGACGGGGTTCAGACCAAATAAAGATCATTGAGCGGCGAGGGATTCGCTCGGGCTTTCAGGGAAATGTGCCTGATGCGGGGCACGGCGCAGCCCGGCTGCTTGGCTCTCGGCTGCTCCCGCTTCCCTCTTGATTTGCCTGGGTTTATTTTGTGCCCATTGCCTCCTCCATCTCGAGACTGCACCAAATCACACGCTCACTTTTGCAAAAGAGAGAGTTTATTTTCAACAGTGCATGGGGTTGGGAGGATTTGAATGGGAGAGAATACAGGCAGTACATGAACAGAGAGGGTGCAGTACAACAGCAGCAGGGCTGCCTGGCCTGGAAAATCTCCTGGTCCTCTGGGCCCCAAGCACAGTGCCTTCGGGAAGGCTGCACTCCCACAGCTCCACAGACCCAGGGATCAAGAGCGGCAAGGGCTGAGCTCTGCTCCATGAGCAAAGCTGGGGGCCAAAAGCTCCCTCCAAACTTCACACACCTGGTATTTCACCAGGTGAGACAGTGACTGGCTCAGGTCTCTCTGCCTAAGCACTTTGTTCCTGCTCTGGGGTATTGAGGGCACTGTAGGCAACATACAGGAGTGATGTGGGATGATCCCTTGGCTCCCTGTGTTGCCCTGGCTCCCTCCCTATGGCTGCACCGCTGTGTTTCAAAGTCCAGAAATCCACTGTGTTCACGAGACAAAGCTGTCTCCTCTTCGGGGCCCATGGAGAAGCAGGTTGGGACCCTCCTGGAGAAACTCGGAGAAGTCAAATGGCAAGTCCAGGCAGGTGGTAGCCAGCTGGAAGAAGGAACTCACAGGCTTCAAAAGTCCCTTGTCCTCTCACTGGGATCTAGGAAGGAAAGAAAAAAAATGGAGTGGTTATAATCTCTGTCAGAGAAATGGTCCAGTAGCACTTGGCTGAGAACAGACCAACTTGTCCCTGGTGGCAGAGAACTCCAATCCTCTCTCCCTCCCCAGCACACGTTTCTCATGGCTCTGTACCACCTTACCCTCTTCCTTACCAGGAAATCTGGAGTCCCCAAGATGCCAAGCTTCCCCTGCACCCTCCTCAATCCCTACCTCTGCCTGCCCCGCACACCGCCAGCCAGGGGAGGGCTCACGGCTCGTCCTTCCTCCCTAGGCTTTGGGGCATGGGATTACTCTGCATGTCAGAGCCACTAAAGGCACAGCCCTCTGATGTTTTAATCTTCGTGTTAACTTTCCCTGCCCTCAGCGCCCTTGCCTGACTGGAGAAAGTGATACCAAGCCACCGAGCTGGAGCCGAAGCTGTGACGCTCAGCCAAAGTCCCCTTCTCTGCTTTCCCCACGCCTCCCGTGCTTTGCCCCACACACCTCGCACCTTGCAGCACGTTCTCCTCTATTTTTCCTGATTTTTTTTCATCTATTTCCTTTACACTTTATCAGTGTTGAGTGTGTATTCCCTAGCCCCCCAAACCAATCCCATCTTTTTCCTATCTTCCCTTCGCTTTGCCCATAAACTGTTACATTGGAAGGAGTAAAGACTAATATAACAAATCCTTGAGTACACTTGCAAAAGGAACCATCAGCTGGCTAATTTATTCTTTTTATTGCACCAAATTGTAATTTTATAAAATATTGCAAATTTTATAAAATATTTGCAAGCCCATTTTAAGAGATAAATCTTCTGTGTGGCTCTCTAATGAGCCGCCCTGGGAGCAGCCGGCATGTGATCTGCTGTAGGTCGCACCGCGACGTTCCCAGGCTGTGACTGGATGAACCACCGTAACTCTTTGAACTGTGCAAATACTCTACACTCTGGGGTCCAGGCTGCAATTTTCATGGGTATTTTTTCTCTCTCTTAAAAATAGATCTTCTGTAACCCCTTTATTGCAATATTCATAAAGCACTTGATGGAAATCCAAGGAAAATCCCTTCCCTTCTGCAACTTTGAAGTAAGCCTAAAACTTAAGAGAGGCAGAAGCCAAACCCACACCATGTGCTTGGGTTTGGGGAAGGACCGTGGCCTGTGCCTGCCTCTGGGTGCTGAGAGGACAGACCCCATACTGTATGTGGTTAGAGAGACCCAGGCAGCAAAAAGCCAAGGCTCAGCATTTCTTAATCCTATGTGAGATCAGGAGTCATCCCAAACATTCCCCCAAGCCTGGAAAGGATGTTGAAGTTAGGACAGATGAGATCTGAATGATGGTGGGTGCTTTCATGAGCCCAGGACTGGAGGAGGCGGCTGAACCCTTGTTCTCACCAGGGGAAAGGCTTTACCTGGCCGGTAAAATCCCCTGCCCTCTGCAGGGACAGGCTGATCTTGCTTTGGCCTACAGAGAAGCTCCTCTGTAGTGTGGAGAGAGGGTGTGCTTCTTGGGACCTGACATCAACTCAGCCTGGAAATCACCCTCTGCCTGCTTGGGGGGCTTGGAACTTCTGGCACTCAGTAACTGAGGGCAGGAGGGGCTGGACCAACCCAACTGATTCAACATAAACTTCAGGAAACCTCAAATCTCCTGCATGCACTTTCTGGGCAGAGTTCAGCCTTGCACTAAGAATGCCTGAAAAAATAGGGCTTCACCAGGACCCAGTTCCAGCCCCAACACTGCCTTCCCTCCCAAATGTCCTGCACAGAGAAAACATCCCTCTGTGTGTGGATTTTGTGGATTTATTGTCCATCTTTTTTTTTTTTTTTTAAAGCTGAATAAACAATTGAAATTATAGCTCAGCCTCTGCCCCAGCACTTGCTCCTCTGCCTCCTTGTGCCCTTACAAAGCCAGCACTGAGGTTTATATGCTGATAAACTGCCCTGCCACAGCAAGTCTGGGCGGTGGGAAGAGAAAAAAAAAAAACCCTCAAATAATGGTAAATGGATGCAGAACGCTCTGCCTAATCAGATTCCTGTCCCCTATTGAGGCCAGGAAGGAGGGACCCTGCTCCTCCCCTGCCCTCAGCCCAGCCTCCGCTTCACCGGCTCACACGGAGAAACTTTCTGGACAATTTAATCTCGACAGGGTGTTACTTAGAAAAACCTTTTTCACTGTCAATTTTTTTCCCCCCTCCCTTCCACCCCCCCCTCTTTTTTTTTTCTTCCCTCCCAGCCTTGATTGAATTTTGCAAGCCCCTGATATCTTTCTTTTTTGTAGGGATGCACGCTGCTTATGCAAATACCCGCCTTTCATACCAGCCTCCCTGGCTCAAGCCCTCCAACTTGAATGTGACCAAAAGCTGTGCTCTCCCCTGCTAACTCCTTAGCACAATTACACCTCCATTCTGCTCCAGGGGCCCGGGGAGGGGGAAAAAAAAATCATTTTAAACTAATAACACGTGCTGTTTGCTTTGGATAATTACAAGGGAGCTTCGGCTTCTAAGAGCTATGAAATATTCTGTTCAGCAGGGCGGGAGGGAGGCTCTGTGTTCCGCCTACGCCGCGAGTTTTATCTCCTGACGGAGATGCTCCGCGGCCTCTCGAGGCTCCCTCCATCTCCTGCTCATCCTCTGCACCTGGGCAAGCGTTTACATTTCCTACGGAGCAACTTCTCGCTGCTTTGGGCTACAGGAGAGAGGAGAAGGCGCCTGACATTTTCCTTATCTCAAGTTACAATTTCCTGCAAGCATCAAGATAATAAAACATCGGAGATGGGCGAGATGAGCGCAATGAATGCGGCGGCTGAGGCTCCCGCAGCAGCGCGGGAAGGGCCGGGGAGAAAGGACACCCGGGGGATGTGGCTGCTCCGCTGGCTCTCCTTTGCATCGTGGCCCTGACGTTATTGTCCTCCTGCCTTGTCTGCTGGGGAAGTTTATGTGGAGGGCTTTTGCTGGGGCGAGGAGGAGGAGGGGAGTTTTCCCCAAAAGCACCCAGGAATCTGTCAAAAGAGGGACAGAAAAGAGAAGAAGAAGAAGAAGAAGGGAGACAGAGAGTGGGAACGTCAAGGACCCCTGACTAATGAATAGCAAGTTTGCCCTTGAACCTCCCTGGGCTTTGCCATTCCCAGGCTCCAAACAAGGGCTGATGCATGCTTGGGCCCAGCTGCAGGGGGACCGGGCTATGGTTCATCTCAGACACTTTGACAGCCCGGGCCTTTTCCCCACATAGCTCAGACTCGCCTAACTACTCCCCTGGCAACAGCTCAGTGCAGGAACCTGCGCTGAGGCCCTGCCTGCTGCATACAGAAGTACGAGGAGGAGGAGGGGAGCCGCTGGGAGAAATTAGCTAGAGACTGGCTTAACCCATCAAATGCTGGGCAGGCGTTGCCAGCCCCAGCACCCTTTGCTCAGCCCCAGCACCCTCCAGGCACCCCTGGGTGCTCACTGGCCAGTATGTGCAGTGGAGCTGGGAAGGGCAGGGGTGGGTTTAGATGTGCAGAATCGCTGTGCATCACAAATCCCACGACCTGCTGCTTCACCATGACCCAGTGCCTTGGACCTCACGAGTCGGAAGGTTCTCATGGTGCCAGGGATGTGGGAGGGAGCCAAAGTAGCCAGCTGGAAAAGGCCACCAGACACTGAGAGGAAAGGGCATGGCCTCTCCCCGGTGTGGTGGGACAGGGCATCCCTCCATGCCAGCCAAAATGAGGGCAGGGGCTGGATGAGAGGCACAAACTCGCCCTGGATGCTCTTTCTGCATTGCAGATCAAAGGCTGAGGACGAGCTGGCCTTAGGGGTCTGCACTGAATGGCTGGAGAGAACAGGCACAAGCACCCAGCGGCTCTAAAATGCGACCCAGAAACGTTCCCACATCCCAGCCCCATATAAATCAAGGGGGGGGGAAAAAGGGGGAGCTCCATCCCAGCCTCTGTTTTTACAGAGCATCTTTCATGTGCAGCCCCTGAGAGAGGGCTTTGCCGAGCTTGTTAAGGATGGCTCCTGCGCCAGGCAGAGAGGGGGACGCACCATATGGAGAGGAGAAAAAGAAAAGGGGACACTGAAAATGGAAAATTATGCAAAGCAGGAGGAGAGGCACTGGGGGAAAGGGGGGAGGGAGGCAGCAAGGAGGTGGGGGATGGGGAGACAGGAGGCTGGAAGGGAGCCCTGACTTGGGGAACACCATTAGCTGGCACTGGGGCTGCATGAGGAACAGAAGTTTCCTGTGACCAGGTGCAGGGCAGCCCTTTGTACCCTTGGGTGCTGTCACTGGAGGGCAGTTCTCCAGCCTGGCCTTCCCTGAGACAGTCTGGGCTGTGCCAGGGCGATGCCCAGCTGGACTGTGGTGGGTGCATTCTGTTTCTGGAGCTGTGCTGCACTGGGAGACACAGGAAAAATGGGGTCCATGGTGGCCTACTTCAGAGGTGTCCTGAGGACCTCTGTAACTATAGCAATGAGGTTGCAAGCAAACATTATGGTATTTTGGACAAGAGTTTTGCTTGTCATCAATCACAAAACCCAGATTCATGTAAGGAGGTGCCAGAGTATTATAAGAAAAGGCTCTGACCAACAGCAATGATAGCAAGGGCCCAAACTGCCCTTGGGTCTCAGCTGCCCTTGCAGGGAAGGTGGATGCTTGGATGGGTGAAAGGAGAATCCAAATTCAGCAGCCAGAGCTCTTCCCTCCCCCTCAGACCCTGCAGAGTCCCAGTGCTGCAGGGTGAGCTGCAGGCTCAGTGCAGCTCAGGGATGCTGTGCAGGCATTCCAGCCCAGGCTTCTGTTACTGCCCAGCTTGTGCTCAAACTCCAGCATTGGCCTAACGTGGTGTTTGGAAAAATGACTCAGCTCTTCCAACACAGGTGTGGAGCTCCTTTTCCCTATCCTGGAAACACTGGCCACCTTAGGGGAAACACCCCTCTTGTCACTGTGACAGCTTCTTTTTCCTAAAGCCACTCTGTGCACCAAACTTGTGGCACTCTGCTGGCTCGCTGTCATGGGCCATG